ATGCGATTATTATTACTCCGGCAAGACAACACCTTGAACCTAAACTCTTGACAGTAATATTTATCGCAATATTTGGATCTTTCGGTTTATATTCGAGTTTTATATCTTTTTTAAAGCAGGGTGAAAGTCGTATCTCAAATTTTTACTGTCTCGCCATTGCAAGGGCAGCTATTAGCTGCATGGAATTAGTCGTATTTATCAGTCTATTTATCCTTTGTATCATGTCTATTTCTACTGGATTGCATGATCCTTTCATTTATTTCAGATTTTGAAAAGATTCGTTTGCAATTATTTTTTAAAGAAAGTTTAATGTTTTGACAAAAACATGTTTTCAATTTAGAAAATGAACAATTACTGATGGATTCGAAAAAAGAAAAATTTGAGACAGCAGTATTCATCATATTTATTCTGTTGATATACCTGCCAGAGATTAATCGGCAATTTTCAGTTATCTCCGACTTCAAATCAACGGAAAAGCGAACGTTGGCACCCCTTCCCAATATTGACTTTCGCGATTTCCGCGGTTTTGTAAAAAAATTTAATCTATACTACAATGATCATTACGGACTTCGTAATAGATTCGCAGCTGCAAATACAGCTCTCAATATTAAAGTTTTCGGCATCTCAGGGCTTCCTTATATCGTTATCGGTAAAAATGATTGGATTTTCTTTGATTCCGGTAAGTATATTCTTAATATAAAGAACCCTCGACGAACTAGTGGGTTAGGATTTCCTGGCTGGCAGGGCAGAATCCCTCTTTCAAAAAATGAATTGACAAATATAAAAAATAATCTGAAATCGATACAGAGATCCCTTGAAAAACTCAACATTACTTTTCTTGTTGTTCCATGTCCTGACAAACATTCAATTTATCCTGAATATTTGCCTTGGAGATTCAAGACTAAAAGTGGCCCGAGCAGACTTTCCCAAATTGTGAAGCACATAATGTTACAAACAAACGTCACCTTGATTGATATGGAAGAAGCTTTACTACTGGCAAAAAAGAAATATGCTAATTTATATACATACTTCAAAACTGATACTCATTGGAATAATATAGGAGGCTTTTTCGCCTACAAAGAAATAGTAAAGAAATTGCGTGTTTCACACACTAAACTCTCACCATATCATTTTGAACATTTTATCGTAAACCGATCCTTGCAAAGGGAAGGTGACCTCTTGCGTCTCGCCGCTCTGAATCATGCCACTCTCGGTCATACTCATGTATTAGACAATCACATCACTCTAAAAACAAACATCAACCATGATCTTGGACCAAAACTGAAGAAGCTGCTTGTTTTTGGTGACTCTTTTTTCACTGCAATCAAAGGCTATTTATCACAGCATTTCAAGGAAACAAAGTTCGTTTACGGGATACGCAACGCCAGTACCCCACTTGATGAAAAATTCATTAATACTTATCAGCCAACCGTTGTAATTTTTCAAGCGGTAGAGCGCTGGTGGACAAACTTATAAGTGTTGAAAAATGGGTGGTGCATTGTAAGCCAACATTGCACGGAAGAACGTAGAATAAGAGCGAATGGGATCAGATACTGAAAATATATTCCAAAGCCCTCAAGCGAGCTCCTTGCTTTAACGCTAATTGTACAGCGATGCTTTCGACATATATGTGGATGTGAGTTTGGATGTGGGGTGGGTGTGGATGTAGGCGCGTGGATTTGCATAATCATGTAGATGGGTGTCGATGTGACTGAGTAAAAGATTGTGCTAACTCCCACACATGCGTCCACCCACACCTACAGTCACTAGAGGTGAGGACGGAACGTCACGTAATTCTCCTTAATGCTGCGTGGATTGTGGGGGAGGGGAGAGAGACTTGTTACATAACATTTGAACTTTGTGTTAAAGAATCTAAGGTCAGTTATGAAACTAACGTGTAACATGTATTATTTCATACTTAATGAAGATAGTATGTATCTGAATTTCTAAACTTTTCTCAAAAACCAACTCAGTGACTATTGCATATGATAGAAAGTACTCTGAGATATTCTTGAATACGACTATATCTCCAAGTATAAAAGAAACAATCAGCTCTAATAAATCCTGATATATTCCTATGTCTAATTTGTATTTTTTTTTATTCTCTATCATTATTCTAGATAAAAAATGTGTGAAAAAAAAGTGTTTTCTCCAATGAAGAGATCTATAACGATGATGTCATGGCATTATATGATCTTCGATATGAAGAAATTAACATGAAATGTTTTCAGGTGCAAATTCACTTATTGAAATTTTGCCACACTACGACGATCGTTTTTATCAAAATCGTCTTTCACTACGTTCTACATTTGTTTGTTCTTCTCATAAGCAAGAGTTTTTAAAAGAATACTGGTCATTATCATATAGAAAATGTTGGTTATGTATATAGCTTCAGAAACTGACACCTGTTAGATTTTCATTCATTTTGTTACGCTATGTAACTATACACTGTTAGATAGAAAATAACTTATGGAGAAAGAACAGAGATATACAAGGAATGTCCATATGAATTCTCAAAGAAATTTTTAAATCCTTGAAAATGCAGTTTTCAAGAAGAAAGAAATAAGAAATATGATTTTCTGATTAGAAAATCGAGAGTGAATTCATATGGCCATTCCTGGAAATTCGCTTACGATATAGTGGTTGGAACATATTTTACAAATTTGAAAATCAAATTTTATTTTCACTTTAAAATAGCAGTTCCTCCGATTTATTTTATATATGATACATAAATACATTATACATAAAAATGAAAAGTTCACAATTAAATAAAAATGAAACAACTTGAAAAAAGTTAACAAGAAAAAAGCTACTAGTTCATATTCACAAAAAATAAACATTTTTATATACTAACATAAGCATAAATTATCAATTTCAAGATCTAATACAAAAGATACGAAGCCAAAGAGCTGTCACTTTGGATGAATATCTAATTGATATTCATTAAAAAATCTTTTAGCAGCCACTGACAAAAAAAATGATCTCCTTTTAAATGATAATCCATTCAAAACCTCTGGTGTTGCACGAATTTTTGTCGGATATTCTATGTTGAATATCTCATAAGATCCAATCAAAACAGCCATGGCTTCAGCTTGATAATTCGTTGTAATAAATTGGTTATATTCGATAACAATCGAATAATTTGTAGTATCATTGACCTTTTGTATTTGAATCATTGGATAGGCATCTATAGTTTCCTAAAATTAGTAAATATGAAAATAAGGAATCGAAATTTTGAGTTTCTATTATATGGTCAATACAGCACTCACGTGATTTAACAATAACTTTTTTGAATGTTTGTAACGTTTCATAATCAAATGTTCCAAGAAAAAGAAAGGTTGTTCTTCTAAAATAAGGAATATAACATACAATAATTGATTAGATTCATTACCTTTAGTAATATTTTCTTTTTGTGGATGATCCAAATACTTCAGTAATTTCGTGCAACTTGATTCCAATGTTTGGACAATATCTCCATCGAATGGATCAGAACTGACATTAATTTCACAATTTATCCGTGCATGAAAACGGATGAAAAAAAAACAATTTATATATAATAGTGAAAAGTGCTAACGAGAGAACATTCCCAGGTATCCGAGCGCTTTTTATCCGGGGTTTCGCGCATCTTGTAGTCCATAGTGTACTGTGTCTATGGGAAAAAATTTCGGGTTTCTGGCTTGGTTTGGGGGAGATATCGAGCTCCTAGTGAATTTTCTTTAGAGTACGCCTACATTGGTAGCAAAGCTATACTTTTCGATTTTTACCTGAAACTTTGCCTGCATAAAGGCCTCAACTAGACTAGCTTGCATAGAAAATTTCAGGAGTTTTGGATAAAATCTCTCTAAGATACGAAGCTTTGAAAAACATACATACTATATACGTATATTATTTATGAAAAAGGAACTATGCCTTGATAGTTTTATATCTTAGAGAGACTTTGTTCAAAACTCCTGAAATTTTTTATGCAAGCTAGTCTAGTTGATGCCTTTATGCAGGCAAAGTTTCAGGTCAAAATCGGAAAGTATAGCTTTGCTGCCAATGTAGGCTACTCTAAAGAAAATTCACTAGGAGCTCGATATCTCCCCCAAAACAAGCCAGAAACCTGAAATTTTTTTACCATAGACACAGTACACTATGGACTACAAGATGCGCGAAACCCCGGATAAAAAGTGCTCGGACACCTAAGAATGTCCCCTCGTAAGTTAAAATAATATATTCTTCAAGACCTACCAGATCAGTTACTGATAAAACTGGATATAAATCAAAAATTTGTTTTATTGGTTTCATCTCTCGAACAAGACTTTGACGATGTAGATATGGGATGTCCACTTTCGCTTTAACTGAACCATAATCGTAGTTTCTTGTGTTTATTAAAACACGCATTGATTCTGCTTGTTGAGATAATTGCATTAAACATTCTTTAGATTGCTCTTTTTCTTCAACCAAATACTCCTAAAAAAGAAAAAGAAGAAGTTGTAGAATAAAGTAACTATTAGGGTCTGATTAGATGTAATGGATTTTCTAATCTTTATTTTAAAAGATGAAAATGCACAAAAAAGAAAATACGAGATGGAAGATATAACACCACTCAAATCCCCTTCTGACGATAGAAAAGAACTATATATAGAAAAACAAAGAGAGAGAGAGGGATGACTAGAAGACATGATACCACTAGAACAAAGAAAAAGATAGATCAAATCATAACAACAAAGGTGATATCATGTAAACAAAAAGAAAAAGAAAAGAAGAACGAAAGAAACAAGAAAAGAATAATAAGATGAACTAGTGTGAGGGCAGGCCCGTAACAGTCGACCCCCCTAGAGAAGATGTATGTCCGCACACATGGTTCTGAACAAAATTTAACAACAATAATAATAATGAGATATATAGAAAAGTACAACAAAGAAAAATAGATGTTTCAAATATAAAACAATAAATCTAACTGTATGACAACCAAAAAAAAAATATAAAGACAAAAGAAAAAATATATATATATATATTTATTTTCTTGAATTTGTTTTCTTGTGAATACGTTCATAATGTTTTTCTGTGAACATATCATTATCTAATTTTTCTTCTACTTCTTTCCGTATTGCTTCATCACTAACTCCAACAAATAATATATTACCAACAACGTTGATATTCACATAATGGATATTCATATATAATAAAACATTTTTAATTTGTCTAATTGTAAAGCCACGATAGATTTTTCTAATTATTTCAAATCGATATCGTTTAGCTCGTTTTTTCCTGCTTTTCTGTTGATTTCTTGTTAATGGTTTATCAGATAAATGTTGTTGATATTTATTATTTATATTAAGCGGTTGTTCATCTTCATCGGATATAATTTCAATATCATTTTGACGATCATTTCGTGCATGACCTTTATCTTGATCATCACTATAATCTAATGGTTGTTTATATTCATTTAATTGATGTTGTTTTGAAGTAAAATAGAGTTTCATTATTTCAGGTAAAGACATATCATCAATATCATCATCACTAATCATTTCCAAAGAATCATCTCGATCATGACTCCCGGTTAATATATCATATGTTGGTGCATCATCTATTTTAACATCATCATATAATTTAACAATTTCATTTTGTACATGAACATCTATATTATAATTAATTCATTAACTGGCCATTTGCCAACAGGTTCTTGCTCATGATCTAATGCTAATTCATCATCAGATATTGCTTCAAGATCATTTGTAATTAATGGTGTTGGAGATTCTGTTTCTGTTGCTGATGGTACTTCATACACCAGTTTCGTTACGGCAAGGCAATCGTTCAAATCATAAGTGATCATAGATTTTCTGATTTCTTCATCTTCTATAATTTATCTTTGTTGATGTAAAAATTGTCTTGATATTATTATCGTATTTAAAGCTGGATCAAGACCACAACCAAAATTTGCAAGAGTGAAACGTTTAGTCAACCATTGATTAAACATTTTGTAAATGGAAAATTGAAGAGCGTATGTTTCATTTGCTTTTAGTTTAATATCAGGTGATAATGGATAATTTTGGTTGAAGTAATGTTTAAATTCATCTTGAATATTTCGTTCTTTAACAGACTTAATATCATTTTCGTGAAATAATTCAAATTTATAAAAATGTTCAAGTTCTTTTTTGATACTGCCCCATAGATAAATTTTGTGATTATTTGAAAAAATAATTTTTAATAATTGTTTAATTTTAACAAATGTTGGTTCATTTCGTTTTGGCAAAATGCATCATTTCAATAATTAATAAAATTGATGGATTATTTTCATAAACATATTCAATTTGTAATAAAGCTTGTTTCGATGGTTGAGGTGGTGGTTGAAGTGGGTCTTCAGTATCAATGGTGTAATTTGTTACTTCCTTGGCATAATTGATCAAGTTATCGAGTACGTCCATAGATGTTTAATAATGAATATGATAATATCTATAATATCGGGTGTCCCAGAAAGAATGGGCCTCTCAGTATTTTTAAGATTTCTTCTCTATTATCCCTGTAATTAAAGCTCTCTTTATTATCAAAAGATAGTGCTTGAAATTCTCTACAAAACCATATATGAGTTGGTCCCAAAACTGTCTTAGATATATTTGAAAAAAGACGAAAACTAAAGGCATACAAAAACTGTAAAATGTAAATAACGGGTGTTCCATANGAGCTTGAGTTATTTATGCCAGACTGAAAACTATGGCTAACTAATTAGTGACAGTTTTCAATATGAACTTCAGATCTCCGTTATTCCAAGATAAATTCTTACTAAATTTTGACTGTAGATAGCTACACCGTTGGGCTTACAAATGAAGGACTACGTGAACACAAAAGTCAAAAAATAATCGAGATATAACTTTGACAATCTGATGATATTGTTGACTTATAACTCGAATCTATATCAATCGATTGAGGGCGAGGTAGTGCTTGCGATCAGGATTCACTAAGACCAGTCCCTACATCCAAAGTATCAGCCTCATATCATAAAAGAAAGATCAGTTTAGGGGGAGGGGGGATTCCTTTTGCTCCGGACTGTATTTTGTTGATTTCTTTGTTCAGAGAGGTTGTAACTAATATTTTTGGTTTTTATGATTTCAGACAATATTTTCAATAATCAGTATTATTTACTTTTGTATTTCTTTCAAACATCGACTTATTGTCGACAAATCACAACATTGCAAATTTGTTCACAAAAGATCTGTTGTAAGTCGTCTTTCTCATTTGTCATAATAATTATTTTGCCTGTCTTATTGAATTGATTTTTTTTCTTCATATAATTTAAGTCACGAGATGAAGTGAAGATTTTTCTGTCAGCTCTTGTGTAACTGAAAAGCATAGGGAAGAATCAAACGTAAGACAATGCTAATTATAGCCTCGCTCTCAATCTGCTTGTCGCTATGAGTTGTCCTAGATATTATTTTTTGTCTTTTTCTTTCTTGTTGTTGTTCATTTTCAATAGTTTTCTCTATACTATTTAACATTAGAAATAACTTAGAATTACTTTTGTCCTTGAGATGTTGAGTGCAATATAGAATGACATACACGCACATAAATATTGTTAGATGATGTTGCCAATGGCATTTATGAACAAATCGATTCATCCGACATAGTGACATATGACAGTTAGGTGACATGTAGACAAGTAAATGCGAAATGGAAAATTATGGAAAGTTCCTCTATATGATATGCATTATGAAAGAACTTATTTTCTATATTTTTTTCTTTTATATCGATCGATCATTTTTGTTTACTCAATTACTTGACCTTCGACAGAAAAAAAACTAGAGAGCAAAAAAAGAACACGAGTTTTTGTCACACTTATCTGATAAGCAGCAATGGATAAGTAAAAGGGAATGATGAAGAAAAAAAGGAAAATTAGAATGACATGTTCGTTCCTTGCTTTAGTTTTCAAATATATTTCCTTCTTGTCTTGTTTAGGCTCATTTGAAGCAAACTAGATGTTGCCATGGCGGATGACAATAGCCATCCATTCAATCGTGACGTTATTGATAATGATACAATAGTTCAAATTCAAAAGCAATTATCATTACAAAAACAACCAAATATTGAAAGAGATCATGAACAAAGAGATATCGTTGATATTCTATTTTTAAATAATAGAAATAGTCTTTTTTCAAGTTCAAGTGATTCATCTTTTGATACAACGTTACATTCAGTATCGGATGATGATTTTAATCGTCTTAAATATTTTTTACGTTCAATAATATGGCCTATCAATCATCATATACGTCGGCAATTATGGATAAATGTATTAAAATTAAATCGAATCAGTTCATCAAACCAAAATTATCATACAGGTCATACATTACAAACGGCTTTAACAACAACATCTATGATTATCGATAATAATTTAAATTCTCTATCATCAAAATATAATCAATGGCCAAATTTTGTTGATACAACTAATTTATGTTTCTATTATTTAACTGAACAAACAGGTCATTCTCTTTTATATAGTATTCTTTTAACATTTGCTTCACATCATCCAGATATAACATTCTGTCCCACATTAGAACCATTTGCAGCGTTACTTTTACATTATCATAATGAATATGAAGTTTTATATTTACTTCATCGTTTATTAATTAAAAATTGGTTATGTGGTGAAACACGTTTACAATGGGAAGCTTATTCTAATGTTTTTAGAAAATTACTAAAACACTATTTTGTATGCTCAATACAATGAAAATTCAATAAACATAAATTATCTTTCTATTATTTAGAAATCATCAGTTGATATTATTGATTTACGCTACAAAAATACACAAGGCTTCTATAAAGGATGGTTTTGGTGGATTTTTCGTTATTTACCATTTTCTTATCTCGTATTAGTTATAGTTTCGATATGAACAATTGAACTTTTTCATTTGAATTTAGGTCAAAATAATGGATTGTTTTCTTCTTGAAGGTCCAAAAATTTTATTTCGAATTAGCTTGACACTTATTCATTTATTTTCAAAAGGTATGCTACAACAAAAAAAAACGTAGTCTTTCTACCTTTTCATCTCATTTTATAGGATCTCATTTATTTAGCTGTGTATATAGATATTCACAATTATTTTTTTTTATATTAAGTTTCCTAAATATAAGCTTATTTTTTTTAAACTACATTTTACTTTAATCATAATAGTAACATTGAGATATTGCAGAAAATATACGTATAAATATTAACAGCAGCTTATTTTTTATTTTTAACATTATGAAAAGAAACAATAAGAGATATAAGTTCCATATTCAGTTAAATAATTTAATATGATGTCTTTTACTCTAGAAATAAAACGTGAATCGGATAGAAATATTCAAAATATTGCCGACTTTTGCCAACGAATTCCAGTATCAATTGATCATCTTTTACATGTAAGTCATTAATTGAAACTTCATTTAACTTTGTAATTAGATCATGTCCGAATATAAATTTCTTGACGATAAACTTCATTCTATTCTTTTTGATTAATATCTTGTTCAGATTGCATTTCATATTCGTAATTTGAAACGACGTACAATTGAGCAATTAATTGAACATGAAGAAAAACTTTTACATAATACTCGTCACCAATCACTATCTGATGGTGTCAATCAAAATAATAATACTAATAATGGAATTACACCTGATCGACAATCATCATTTATTACGATTCACCATCTGCCGCAAATACCACAAAAATCCGTACTCGATCATCAACAAGTATGCCATGATTAATTTCTAAAAAATACAAATAAAAAAAATGATTTTCTAGTTTCTTACATTATGGAATTGGTTACCTACCCGTCTTAGTCTATCTCAACCATTTTTAGTTTTTTCAACTGCAGAAGATGGATTTCGCTTACAAACATTACTCGATAAAATTGATGAACTTGAACATTCAATTTTAATAATAAAAACTACGACTGGTGAGGTAACTATTGTTCGATTACAATAAAAGCAAACATAGAATAGCTCACAAAAGCAAAAAAATCTAAGTGGAAGGAACATTTATTTCGGATACTGGAAATGGAACAAGAAATGACTTTTTCCTCAGCCATTTTTCTCTTCATGTAAATTCTGAAGGTTGCTTTAAATAGTATTTATCTATTTAAATAGATATTTGGTGCATTTTGTGCTGGTCTTTGGTCTAATCGTCATAATAGAACATATTTCGGCTGTGGTGAATCTTTTTTATTTACACTTATACCAAAACAAATTAAATATTCTTGGGCAGGACAACAACATTATGATAATAATCGTCAAAGTCAATTAAAACGTGACATGTTTTTATTTGTTGACAATGAAAAGTTAATTATTGGTGGAGGGTAAACAAAAAGAAAAAGGATCAATTAGGAGTTTTTATTTATTTTTAACTTTTAGAAATGGTGATGGTTTATGTATTGATCAATCATTATGTGAAGGTCGTACAGCTCATTGTGAAACATTCAATAATGAACCACTTTGTTCTGAGCCATACTTTTTCATCTCAGTTTTAGAAATGATTGCAATTGATCTTTCTTCAACTTAATCATTTGGTTTTATTATGAAAAAATTCAATTTGTGAACCAATAAAATGGCATATAAAACAGTATCTTATTATTCTTTTTCTGTATTTGTGTTTTGTAAAGATTTGTCTTTATTTTGATGGAAGATTACGAAAGAAATATAAACTGTAGTGTGTGGATGCATATGAATGAAGAGAAGATCTACGCTCACATTCACAGCCTATATCAATATACGACAAAAAATTATTCATTCACTCTACTTACTTGCCTAATTGTCATTTAAAGTTAAAAATAAAGTGTCAAGAACCGTATGAATGAACGAGTAGAGTATGAAAGATTGGTTTTGTGAAACGGATCGTTGTTACATGACAAGTCATCTCTGGCATCTATCCAGTATTTTACTTAAAGCACGTTTATGGAAAAATTCGCCTTTATGCATATTTCTATCCCCTCAATCTACGGTGCAACGAATCGATTCTTGATGAATGTTACATATCATTTATTGCCAAAAACTGATATTTGCCAAGGAGAGACATCTATTGTTAAAAAAGCATCCATTCTCGAAAAAAAGTTATGCTATCCCAATCCAACAAGTACCAATTAAAGACAAGCTCAAACTACTGGATTGACATATATTCTTTAGTTATACATCTGAGTTTCTGTTTCGTTTACAGACGAGTAATTTTATCGATCGATTTAAAGATATCAGTTAACGTAACCAGTGAATGACTGTTAACTATTGAATGTGAACCGACTTAAATTATGGTGGATAACAAATAACATGAAAATCTGGCGAATGCTCGTTGAAAACTTCATATTAATTTTTAATTGCTCTTTGAATCAATAATTTCATTTTTTAGTTTAAAAAATTTCATGATCAACAGCAGCCGAATACTAATGAGGGTGTGGGTGTGGGTGTGTGGGTGGGTGTGGGTGTGGGTGTGGGTGTGGGTGTGTGGGTGGGTGTGGGTGTGGGTTAAGAGAAGAACTACGTCCACACCCACGCCCTTTTTCAGCTATGTATCGTGTAACAGCTCAGCGAAACAAGGGAGTAAAGCAACGCGATTTTTATTTCTTGAGACCCATCTATCTTAAAGAAAAGAGCTCATTACGT